GGCGGGCGGCGGGGGCAGTATGGCGGCGCCGGGGGCTCTGAGGGGCTGGTGGAGGTTGGCGTTGGGCGGCCGGATGAGGAGGTACCGCTCCGCGGCGGGCCTGCTCGGTCCCCTCGGGTAGGGCGCCGAGTCTCCCCGCTGTGCGGCAGGGGGTGGCGGGGGCCGGGGCCGGGGCCGCCCGGTGGCGGGGACCCCTCTGAGGCTGTTCCTTTCCTCCCCTCTCCCTGAAGCAGCTGGTGTCCCGCTCCGCTGCGCCGAGGACGAGCGCTGCCGAGGCCCCCGCCGCGCCCCGCCTGTGCGGTTAGCCGCCCGCTGCGGTGGGCATCGTCCTTCTCCCAGCCGGGCCCGACGGAGAGCGACCCCAGCGAGGGACAGGTCTTCCTCAGCGAGAGCTGCGTGAAGGTAGGGACCCCGGGAAGCAGCTTGGGTGCCTCTCGGAGGGATTTCCAAGCTGCCTGCTCTGCTGTGGGCACATAGGGGAGGCGTTTGAGTGTTTGCCGGTTTGTTCAGCAGGTCTTTTAATTCTCTCCTCCTTTGCAGAGGCTGCTGGAGATTACAGAAGGCTCAGAGTTTCTCAGGCTGCAGGTGGAAGGAGGTGGCTGCTCTGGATTCCAGTACAAGTTTTCCTTGGACACAGTTATCAATCCTGATGACAGGCAAGGGCAAAGGGGTGTAGTGGTGGTCAGGTGTGACTGTTCTTTGCAAAGGTGACGAGAAGGGGGGGTGTGATGTGACAGTACGTTGCGTTGAAGGGAGGAAGCCTGTGAGATAAGGAAAGTGCTCACGCAGTGCTTCTCTGTTGGGTCTGCAGCACAGTTAATGGTTAAATATGCTGCTTTTCTGCAGGGTGTTTGAACAAGGTGGTGCCCGTGTGGTCGTGGATGTGGACAGCCTGGCCTTTGTCAAAGGTTCCATGGTGGACTTCAGCCAGGAGCTGATTCGCAGCTCCTTCCAGGTGGTAAGCAACCCCCAGGCAGAGAAGGGTTGCTCATGTGGGACTTCCTTCTCTGTCAAATTCTGACTGGACTTCCCATGGATGGACACTGTCTGCAGAGACTTCCTGGCAGTCTTCAGAGGGTTTTTGCTTGTTGTTTTCCCAGCTGCTCCCTCTCATCTCCCTTATCCTGTAACACAGCTGTTACATATGACTCCAGCTGTGTGTGTGTCTGCACTGAGCCTATCTGAAAGACTTGTTGGCCTTCCCTTCACAAACACGAAGTAGCTGTGAGCACGCACACGGGAGCATCCTCAGCGCCTTGTGAACCACTGGCCAGGTGGTGCTGACTTGCCTACCCTGTCCTGAATGTGGAAGCACTTAACTGCTTGTCTCTGCAAGAGAAGGCTGAATATATGTGTGTGTGTTTATTGAAAGTTCCTACTAAAAGAAAGTCTTTGATTGGTATTGCTCATGCATTCTCGCACAGGTAGAATCTGGGTTCTTTCAGGCTACTGTTGCTTATTCCATGTCTTCCAGCTGAATGGGACTCGGGCTCTTTCTCCTATACACCTCCCAGTGTTGCTGACTCTCCACTTCCCAACTCACAGTGGGCTTTTCCAGATATTTCACTGTTCTCTTACCCAGCAGGCTTCTCTCGGTCCCAGGAACTTACAGTGGTTTTGCTGTCAGTCCCTGGGATGAAAGTTTTTACTTGTTTAGAGTAAGTGAAACTAAAAAAATTGAGGTAGGAAGAATTAGTAGCTTTTTTCTTTTCTTAAAAAAAAAAAAAAAACTTGTGTATATATATAAAAATAAAATACACAGCCAGCCATCCCCCAGTGCCATTTTAGGCTGTTCCTAAACCTGGCTTGGAATTTTAGGTCATACAAACTCTCAGGTTTCATAGTGTGTCTGCTGCCTTCCCGTGCCAGCAGGAAGGGAAGTTCAGGTGACACAGGCAGAGGAGGATCTGAAGTACTGCTTAAGGGTCCTCAAGTCCTTTTGACTTAGTTGTCTGAGAATCTTTTCCATAACTTGCTTCACTGTTTAATCTCTGTCTAACTTTTGCCTGGTTTGATGAAAGAATGAAATCGCTCCTTTCCTTTCTGAAACTCCCATAGAATGGGAAATCTCGAAGTTTCCAGAACAACATCCTTTTGATTAGTTGTTTTCTGTAGTTTTTTATCTACCACTAGATGTCTTTTAAATCAAAGTGATTCACCTGCTTCTGGGTGAAAGGAGAGATGGGGAAGCTATTTTTGTTCCCTCTCTTATGTTTTATCTGATCATAACCAAATTGTCTAAGACTCGAGTCTTTCACGTGAGTGTGGGAACACTGCATGACTTTGGTCTCAAGGAAACTGCTTACTGCTTATGGCAAACCATGAGCTTTTTAAGACTCTGTGCCACAGGCACTTTTGTTGTTAAGCTTCCCAAATGCCTTTCTAAACTAATCAGCAGTGCATATGTACAGCACTGATTTGCCTATTGATTTCTAGCATTCAGAGGGTTGATAACTAGTTTCAGTTTCATCCGTAGAAGTTACGAGAGTTTGTATGTGATCTGCTCTGACTGTCACATGGGGAATATGGATGGGATTTGGAGCAGCAGCTCTTTTCGTTTAGCCTTTTGCATTTCTGTTTCCTGCAGTCAACAAGTTCTACCTAGTTATGTTGCTATCAGAGGGAGCTGAATGTAGCACTGTCCCATTTTTTAAAAGGGAGCAAAAGGATGTGATTAAAAGACTTGTCTAAAGCCCTGCAGGATGTTTTGGCCCTACCCTTATGCTCCCAGGTCTTGAATGTGATGTCATCCAGAACTGCCTTTGAAAAGTGTGAGACCTACAAGCTTGTGTAGGTAGAAAACATTAGATAAACTCCTTTTCTTTCAGCTGGGATAACTGAGCAATGAAAGTTGGTGGGAGGAATTGCTTTCTGGATCCGTTCTTGATCCATTTCACACAGTCTGACCTTGGTTAGGTCTCTTTCAGGATCTTTCATGGGAAATAAAAGTGCAGGAGTAGTGCTGGGGAGGTAGCAAACCAGTAGCTACCAAGGCGTTTTTTTCCCTAAACTAAAGCCTGCCTTCAGCCCCTGTAGGCATGCAGCCTTCATATTGAATTACTGTTCTTAGTAAATGTAAATATGCTGTCTCTGTTCAACCTAGCCAGGTTCCACCTGCCCTCACTCACACTACACTGATGAAGTAAATCAAGCAAGTGCTGGAGTGGAGTGCCACCCCTTTCAGAGAATCTGCCTCTCCCTCCCAGGGACTATACAGAGGATGAGGCTTAGGGTCCCCACCAGTGCCACCAGCAGCATTGCTGGGCTGATGGGGAAGCTTGCATGTGTGGCTTGCTCTGCCTGCGGTTCTGGCAGTACTGCTCTAACTGCACTAGGTGGACCCCTTACTACTTGGGTGTTGCTGTGCTGAACATACACAGGCATTTCGACTTCTGTCTGGGGTGAGGTTGGATCTGCTCCATGCAGGGCCTAGGCAAGAGCGAAAGTTTCTTTGCAGCTGCCTGTTTTGGAGGCAAGCTGGAGCTGAGTTCATCTGGTATTGCAGCAGTGTGGTCTCTAGATCAGAGAAACTGCTAGGAGCTGGAGAGGTTCCAGCTGTACATGTTGTTCTTGGCCTCCTAGTCCTGCTTCCTGGGAGCAGCTGTGATCTACTGGCCAAAGCTATTAGTCTTCCAGTTCCCAGGAGGGAATGGGTGCAAAGGGCTGTCTGTCACCTCCAGAGTCCTCCTGACTCTTAAAAAAGTCTGTCATTACATCAGAAATTGAACACTTCTGTCCACATTAGCAAGTCAGCAAAGGGGGTCCTGTTCACAGAGGGGGGTGAAGGTGACCTTGGTGAATTTTGGCTGTGTAGGCAGAAGAGGCTAGATCCTGGCTCCTATGGAAGAAAAAAAAAAAACCACCTGTCAAGGTTTGTACACTGAATAGCCTTAGGGGGCAAAAATGGCACCACACTGTAGGCTGTGGGGTAAGACCAGCAGTGCCAAGAGAAGGGTGCAGAAGATTAGACAGGAGATGTGGTTCTGCCTGGCCTGTGAGGGACTGGCAAGGCACGCCTGTGAGGGGCCCGTAGTGTGGGGATAGGTGGGAGCCCTTGCGCTGAACCACCAAGAAAAAGCAGGAGTACGGAGCTGGAGGTGCCGCCTTCGCTTCATGGCAAATGAGAAACTGCAGTGGAAATTCTTTCTCTGCTCCCACATGAAGAAGGAGGATTCTCTCAGTTCACCCACCTGACAAGGAATCAAGGATCAAGAAAGATATTTATGGCAACCTACGTTAAGATGAAACTTCAAGGGAAAAGGGTGCAATCATTGGTGTCACTGACAGGTGGGTAGAAGAGGATGAAATAGAAATCCTTACTTTCACGAGGGCTTGTTGGAGCTCTACAGGGACTTGTTAGTAGACAACCAGCACATCCTCAGCCTGTGACTGGCTCTGTCCTTCAAATTAGGTATCTACCATTGCCTGTTAACTGTGGGTCCCTCTTCCAGGCTTCAAGCCAGGCAGTGGTAGAGAAATGGCAGATTTTTGTCATGTCCCTTTTCTCGTGGTTTAGGGATATGTATGAGAATGCCGTGCTTGCCTTGGTGGGCTTCTGTGTGGTACTACTTGCTACAAAGAGTGTTTGGGGGTGAGTGGCTCTTATAAGACTGAGGGCCAGCCTGGGGTAGATGTTAGGGGAACAACTGGCCCTCTGACCTGCAAATTTTTATCTGCAAAATTTCACTAAGCTCAGCCCTTTCCCTTGTGAAATTGTACATCTGTACAGAGCTGTTGGGTGAATCAGTTAGACAGCTAGGGCTGAGGAGCCAGTACCCCCTGGATGACACCCACCAGGGCTTCTGCTCCCCCTGCCCCGGCCCCCCTCCCCCCCCCTCCCCTGTAGTGTAATTTCCTGCTACCTTGGGGCTTGCCTGAATCCAGCACCTGGGAGAGGAATCACTGAATGGTTGAATGGTGGAGGAGGCAGTTACAGGAAGGCAAAAGTGCATGAAAGAAGGTTTCTCTTGTCTGTGTCCCACACTGTGAAGGCGAATGCTTTTGTATCAGTAAAAAAACCAGAGCAGTATAAACCCCACTACTCACACAGTTAGCTGGGACTGGCCAGAGGACTTTATTGAGTTCAGAGTAAGCGTGCTGCATTTCCAGGATGAGCTGCTACAGCACATGCTTGAGGACCGAACCACACACCTTCTCCACTAGCGAACACAGCAGTCGGGTTCATTAGCAGAGGGTGTGATAGGATGTTGACCTTTTTGACTTTGCCACACCAGCTGAAGCTCTTGTCCAGCGTTCACCATGCTCCTCTGGAATGGGCTGTAGCTACTGGAGAGACTGGCAGCAGAGAAATGGATAATGTTCCGTAATGGTGTGTTTGATATGACTGTCAGGCAGCCTAGAAAAAGAACCACGATTCAAGGAGACTGAGCATTGGTGAGAATAAACTGCAGCCACCTATATTTTATCAAATTCTTCCATTTGGGTAATCTTTTTATTGCCCCCCTCCCCCCCTTTTTTTTAAGAGGTTGAATCCTTGAACTAAACGCCCTTAGGGGCTAGGTATAGGATTGATGGTGCAGTTTGGATCTTCCTGGGTTCTGAGGAATATGTTTGCTCTGCATGGTTTCCAGGATTAGGATGCAACTGGCTTTGATCTGTGCAGATACCTGCTTAGGAAACAGCTCAGTAGATCATGGACTTGGGGTGGGTTTAGCATCCAGCTGTGGATAGAAACGCTGTGGTGAGGCAGCTGAATGACAGCAAGATGGGCCATTACTCCAAGGCTGTGATTCCTCACCCTGTGGGGAGCAGTTTCTGCACAGCGCTTCCTGCCTCTGGCCTTTCCAGCATTTGTATGGCTCTTAGTATTTCCTGCTTGAGCAATAAGAGTTTATGGCCCTAGTCTTTGTGGTTGATTAGAGCCCAAGTTTGTGCCCCTGTTTTAATCAGTGCTCATTTACCTTTGGCATCCTTCAGAGGAACAGAATGGTATGTCTTTCAGTTGCCATGGAAACAGTGAGACTAAATGCACATTTCCATGGCAACCTGCCATTATCTTCAGCTCTATCTGTGGGTCTCATTTTCTGACCATGGGGGTGGGGTGGTGAAAATGGAACTTCATCTCTTAAAAAAATAAAAAAAATTAAAAAAAAAAAGGAAGAGAAAGATGCTACCACCATCATCATCACCACCCCCTTTCCTCCTCTGACTCAGGCTTCGGGCTGAGAGAGGCCTGTGACTACTGCCTCCATCCCGTGTGCTGGGGCTCCAAGGTATTGTCTTCAGCTCCTCTCTTTCACCCTTCTAAAAATAGAGACATTCAGAATAATTTGATGACAATGTTCCAGCTCTTCTCTGAGCTCTTTGTTTCCTCAGCTAATGCTCCCAGAAAAGGCCCTTGAAGTTAACTGAACTTTCCAACAGGTTCTGAAAGTC